ATTACAAGCATTTGTGGCACAGTTTGCCGACGAGAGCTGTTGCAGTATACGAGTAAGCATTTGAAAGTCATGAGCATACGACTAGTAGAACACATGCATTACTTTCATACAGCGTCATTAGAGCTGATAGTCAATGTTATACATTCATCAACCGTCAGAGAGTGCTGGTATTTTGGAAGGCTGCACGCAAGGTATTGACGTTAATATTTCAGAAATTGATCAATTGAATTATCTGAATACAGTGAAAGCTCGTTAATTCACACCTCATTAATTCGAAATTTTGGATAATTCGAAATGGTCGCCGCAGTCCGGTTCGCAGTGCATAGGAGACCATGTGTAAAACTATTCGTTAATTCAAACAGAAATTGCTGCCTCTACAGATAATTCGAAGCGCGCGCCGCCGAGCGTCATCATCGTCAAACACTAGTGGAAGCTTTTACGGTCGAACGATAGGTGGCACGACCAGGTTTTTCGAGCTTCAAGTGGCCTCCGAGCAAAGGGTGAGCAAAGTATGGCCTCCAAAATCCAGGGAGCAATTTTTTTTTTTCGTTGCCCTCCCGCTATCTCAGCGCCTGGCGCCACTTGTACGCGGGACCCACGGGACGCTGAGGAGTCGGCGGAGTAGTCCTAGCAGTCCTAGGCCACTCCCGGGAGCGTCACTTTGTCCCTCGAGCACGTTGTTCGTTCACGAATGATTTTGTGCGCGGGCGATAGGAAGGACTTCGGCATCACGCTGCTCACTGCCATGCACATGTTGGTGCGCGTATGGGAACAGGTGACCGTGCAAACTGTTTGCAATCCCGTGCAATCGCAAACTGTTTCCGCCACAGTGGATTTGCAGCTGAAGCCACAGTGTATTTGCAGCTGGAAGTGCGCGGGATAGTTGTGACGTCAACGTGGATGGGGCTGAGGAGCTCATGCCAGTGGCATTGCGCGACACTCTTCGGCATGTACGTCTTGCCGATTATGTTGAAGTTGACACCGGTGCATCGGTGTGTGGTGCCCTGACTGATGGGGACATTATCGCTCAAGTAGCCGGTGCGCAGCCTGATGCTGAAGAGCCAGAAGGTGAGGAAGACGAAAATGACGAAGCGCCTGTGCGCCCGTGAGCTTCTGCGGTTATGGAGGCACTTAATGTGGCGCATCTCTTCTTCAGCTTTGAAGAGGGTGAAGAGGATTCCCTGCGCTGCGTCCGCACGCTGGAACAGGGAGCCGCAGCTGTGGCATTCAGAGAAAAGAAGCAGATGGTCATCACAGACTTTTTTGGCCAATAAATATTTTTCGTGCCCCCACCCCCGAAATCCACCCATTTTTGCTCACTTTCATTATTTCGAATTTTGTTTAATTCGAAATTGCTCAGCGTTACCGTGGAATTCGAATTAAGGGGGGACGCGGCACTTCGGGACCGAAAATCAGCCAAAAAATCGAGTTTTCGCGGACCTTCTTTTCGCGTTCCCGACATCATTGCGCACCTATTTACAAAATTTCATAGCCGAATACCATCAACTTTTATCGTTATTCAACTTTAAAAAACCGAAAACGGGCGTCCTGCCCTTTAAATTGAGGGCGAATAGCGCAGGTTTCAGCTCTACGATACGCGGGAACTACGCGCTCGATCGGCGCCATTTTGGTCTTGTTTGAAAGAACGCGTTTTCAGCTGTTTTTTTTTTATTCGGTAAGCAACATTGAGCGTTTCCCCGGCTCGAAAAACGGGGCCTCAAAGACGAAGAGCCGCGCTCACTGCCATTGGCTAAACGGCACACGTGACTGAAATGGCGCTTTCCGGTTGGCTGGAAGCTCGCGGCTTGCGCCTGCATACGCGACCCGACGCCATTTTGAAAGGGTTACCGCTGTGACGCCACGAAATCGGCAGAGTACTCTGAAGCTTCTGATCGTATCGCCATGCCTGGAAACGCAAAAAAGTATCGGACCGTGCACGCATTTGGTCGCAGGAAACGCAAAGGTCGTGGGAGAAAGTCTACGAAGTCATCAGAGCCCTTGGTTGACTCCGACGAACGATGTGTCGACACTCCGAGGCCGTTCAGCGATGGTGCGACCGAGACGCCTCCGACGACGATGACGGTGAAGCGAACTCCGGACGACTACGAATCGACGCCAAGGTGGTGACAAATGCCGAAGTTGAAGAAAATCATGCCCGGGAGAAAGCGACGCTCGACCGGCTTTCATCGGCGCCAGCAACTGCACGGAAAATTGACTTTTTCACCGCGAGTTGTAGCGAGGCAACCGCACAGGACTCGGACCACGCTGCTCCTTATCTGCTTATGCATCTAGATATCCTAAACGCGATAATGGGTGCCTTGTGTTGCAAAGCCTGCCACGGACCGGCTACGATCGTCAGAGGGGATCGGGACTACGGACTTGCCGTGAAAGTGCTAGTGCAGTGTGAAAGGTGCGGCGAGATCGCGAATGAATGGACTTCGCCCCGCGCGAACGGCACGAAAACGTGCAATCCGTTTGAAGGAAATCTTCTCGCTTCGAGGGCGATGGTGGCTACCGGCAACGGCCAAACGAAAATGAACGATATTTTCGCAACAATGGGCATCTCACACCGCGGTATGCACCACAAGACGTTTCAGCGGCATTTGAAGAACACGCTGGCACCCGCTGCAACGCGAGCGGCTGAGTCCGCTATGAGCGAATGTGCGGAAAAGGTTAGAACAATTTATGATGACTTGTGCTTCGGCCACCGGGGCAATATTGCCGTTAGCTACGACGGCACGTGGAAGACGCAAGGCCATTCTTCCCACATCGGCGTGGGCACAGTTATCGAATTATTTAGTGGCTACGTGTTGGACTACGTCGTTCTTTCCAACTTTTGCCTAGGCTGCGAGGTGGGCCCAAAGCCTAGTAGTGAGGGCTATCAAGAATGGAAGGCTAATCACAAATGCCAAAAAAATACGAACAGCAAAGCGGGGCAAATGGAAGTGGAGGCGGCTCTAATTCTATTTCAGAGGTCGCTTGAACGCCATGGCCTGCGCTACACAACTATGCTGTCTGATGGAGACTCTAGGACATTTTGCGCCATACAAGACGCCAAGGTGTATGGTTACATTGACGTGCAGAAGGAAGACTGTATTAATCATGTACAGAAACGGATGGGCACCGCATTGAGAAACCTGGTGCAGAAACAAAAGTGCGATGGGAAAAGAGGCCTTGATGAGAAAGGCAGGCTCACAGGTGAGCTGATCACAAGGCTGAGCACATATTATGGCCGGGCTCTGAAATCGCATGAAGGTGACGTGGGCGAGATGCAAAAGGCTGTGATGGCCACATACCGCCACGTCACCTCCACTGACGAATGCTCGGACCACAGTCTGTGCCCAGCTGGTGAAACTTCATGGTGTCGGCACAATGCCGCAAAAGCAAAGGGTGAGCCCGACCCCAGGCATGCCTACAATCTACCGAAAGACGTGGCAGAGGCATTACTACCGGTTTATACCCGGCTTTCGGAAAGAGCCCTGCTTCAGAGGTGCGAACGCGGCAAAACGCAGAACTCCAACGAGAGCCTACATTCGGTAATCTGGAGTTTGGCCCCCAAGGAGCACCATGCGTCCCTGTTCGCTGTTGAAGCAGCTGTTGCAGAAGCAGTGCTGCGCTTCAACACGGGCAATTTGAATTCTGCAACGGCAATCTTAGGTGAAATGGACATGAATGCGACAAGTACTGGTGCCAGGAGAGCGAGAGAAAAAGACCACCGTCGCAGCATTGTCTCCAACAAGAAAAGAACAGCCTCATTGGAACTGCGGAAGCTAGTGAAGAGGAGGCATGAGCACAGAATGCATTCAGACTATGCTTCTGGTGCGTTTTGAGGTTGTCTTGTTGCATCTTCTGCAATAAAAATGTGTGCCCACGTTTTTTCTCGATTTCTCAAAACGACAATTTTCATGTGCTTCCCATTATGCCGGAGGCAATATCTCTTGTTCTATCTGGGTTATCATTACGATTTCTTTTTTGTTTCGAAGATAAATGCAGGGGATGTGTCGTAAAGTAAGTTTTATTGTAATAATTTTTGGAGAAAATTCTCTAAATGGATCTTTTGTTTCAAGTGTAGATGGGGAAATTTTTCATGTCATATTCAACATCCCACAACTTTGCTTCGAAATAGCCCAGAACAATGATTTATACTTTATTGCACACTGTGAACATACCGAATTGGTTCTATAGGTTGCACATCAATATCCAAGTTACAGTTAATTAGCTAATTAGGCCTTAATTGAAAAAGTCGCAGTTCATTATATCTTTAAAACTAATTGTCACAGCAAAAAAAAGAATTAGATTTTTGAAATCAGCAGTAAAATCTACATAGGCTCTCCAAATTTGACTGAGGTACTCGCAAAAATAAAAGAGTTTTTGGAAGGTGTAGCATCCCCCCTTAACGAGCTTTTACTGTACATTCTGAGTACTGAATTCAACACCCCGAATGTGCAATTTTAAAATGCACTTTAATTTTTAAAATCTTATTAATGTTCTATTGTATACTACATTTGGATTATAGCTTTATATGATTTATACTATACATGATTTATGTACTTTAGCTTGAAAAATTATTTTCATTTATGCTGATCATAGAACTGCTCCTAAAAATCTAATTAACATCTTGTAGAATGCGTCATGATAAAGTGTCTTTATGACCTGCCACGGTGGTCTAGTGGCTAAGGCACTCGGCTGGTGACCACCAAGTTGTGGGATCGAATCCCCGTCGCCGCGGCCACATTTTCAATGGAGGCAAAAATGCTTGAAGCCCATGTTCTTAGATTTAAGTGCAGTTACAGAACTCTAGGTGGTCGAAATTTCTGGAGCCCTCCACTATAATTAAGTGGTGGTTTTGGGACGTTAAACTGCAACAGTTATTAAAGTGCCTTTACTGCATCGGGGCTGTGCTACCTTCACTTCCTGTTGTGGAGATGAAACAAGCTGGCTAACAGAGGAGCTGCATCTTTCTCATGTGGTTCTTTGCTGTGCTGTGTGATCTGTTACAGAGCGGACGAGCTGTACCACTTCCTTGAAAAGTGGGCGCCTTCGGTGTACGGTGACGTGCATCGGGTCGACATGGCCAGTCGTGGATTCGAGCTGTTGCCCGAGCCTTCGGAGGAGGAGGAGCTCGAGATGCTCACTGCCCTCGGCCTTATTGCGGGGACGACCAGCAGCGGTGAAGAAGGACGCGACACTCCTGACATGAGCGGCAGCAATAAGGGTCACCATGGCTCTAAAAAGGGCCACGGTGGCGCTCTGCGCTTCTTCAAGCTTTTTGACAGTGGCACGACACAGCTTGAAGCTGCTGCAGTCTCCCCCGGTGACTGGGAGGTAAGTGTTATTCTACATGCTTGAAGTGGCATTGTTGAAGTCAGTTGAAGCTGGTCATTTGGTATGTTATTCGAATGTGAAGTAGCAGTGGAGAGATCAGGTGTAAGTGAGCAGTAATATTTGAATGCCTGTTTAAGCTTATCTCTTATAATGAGATTATACTGTAGTTGGGACATTGTTCTCTGAGAACACTAACCTCATTTATTTCAGTCATATACTTATTCATAGGTGAGAAAATCAAAATCGGTGCCATTTATAAATCTCACCCTGAAATCTTCAGACGTTACGTCTTAGATGTCAAATTCTATTTTTCCTATCTGGGCGACATCGGCTCAATGAAATTTCCTGAAATTTGGTATGTTGTGTATGTGGCCCCTCAGAAAATGATGTACGTCGTTTTCACAATAAGGAATTATCACAACCTAGTAGATGTCAAAATCTGGAACGTCGTGGCGTTTGGTGAGGAAATTTCAAATACTTTTTGGTGCGCTCGCTTTGGTGCGAGGAATTTCAGTTACTTTTTCACCCACATTTTCTTTTTGCATGCTTTCTCATTTACCAAGCGTCTTCTTGAGATAAGAGTGGTGCTTTCGATATAGTGAAATTGTCATTTACTACACTCAAACGTTAGATTAAAACAAAGTTTGAGTGTAATAAGCAATAATTTTCCTCTAAAGAGTCCTAGAATTATTTTAGGGTCTCTTTAAGAGTTTTAGGAACCATCTCTTTATCTTTATCTGTCATTTATTATATTTCTTTGCATTGTTGTCTGCAGGTGGTGTCGATGAGTGAAACAGAAGCACGCCGGCAGTCTTCAATAGACCTGACTGACCTTCCTTTGCCCGAGTTGCTCGATTCCACGGAAATATTTACCGAGGAGCACCGTCGGGAGGTGTGTACAAAATCTTGCTTAAGCTAACCGAGAGTCGCTCACGCATTGCTATGCACAGCACACTTGATGCTTAAAAAAAAATCAATAACCTATAATCTCCAAGTACCGTAATTACTCGGATCTAACGCGCACCTTTTTTCTGGTATAGCGAGTTCATAAATCGCATGCGCGTTAGAATCGAGCACGAACAAAAAAATTTTGGTCAATCTATTGCCATCGGCAAATCCAAAATGGCCGCCCCCTACGTGCGTCGGCATGGCGCGTCGGCTATTTCTGCCTATGTGTTTCCCATGTACGGCACTTCGTACGTGTGCTGAGGAGTTCGTCATCTAGTAGTGCATTAGCATCGACGGCGTGGAAGGGCAGACTCCAAAAACTCGAGTGCTCCACGATGCCGCTTTTAAAAGAAAAGTCATCGCGTGTGCAGAAACGGACGGAAATCGGGCCGCATCGCAGTCGTTCGGAGTTCCCGAAACGTGCGTGCGGGACCGGCGGAAACAAAAGCAGAAGATTGTCGACAGCAAAGCTTCTCGCAAAGGCTTCAGTGGACCACAACAGGGTCGGTTTCCGCAAATTAAAGAGCTGCTCGGCGAGTATGTGCTTGAGCAGCGAGCGGCACAGCGGCCCGTGACGACAGAACTGCTCCAAGTGCGAGCTATGCAATTAGTCTTAGAAAAAGGTCTAATGCGGAGCCAGTTTTAAGCGAGCAGGTGCTGGCTAACTAACTTTATGAAGAGGAAAGGCTTTTCCCTCCGAAGGGCAACATGCATATGCGAAAAGTTGCGGAGGAGTACGATGAAAAGCTTCACAGTTTTCAGAGGTTCGTCCTAAACTTGCGGCGCAACAACGGCTACCTGCTTGGGCAAATCGGGAATGCCGATCAGACGCCTCTTTATTTCAACATGCCTGGCACCACAACCGTCGAGAAGAAGGGGGCGAAGCAAGTTCGAGTGCTGACATCGGTCCACGGTAAAACTACAGTGACGGCAATGCTCTGTTACACGTCAGATGGGCACAAGCTTCGCCCGTACCTCATATTTATATGGAAGACGCTCCCGAAAGGAGTAGTTTTTTCGAGTGGTGTGATCATGCGGGCCAGCGAGAAAAATGGGTGCGCGTTGCAATCGATGTCTTACTTTTTTTTTTTTTTTTGCGGTCGAAATCGGGTGCGCGTTGCAATCGAGGGCGCGGTAGAATCGAGTAAATACGGTAACAGATTCACCTGAGTATGGGCTGCACACCCTCTTTTTCGACCGGAATGATTTGGAGAAAAGTTATTCATGCAATAGCTGCACTCACGTTATCAAAGCACTTGCAGAACACAGCTCCGCTGTGATGTTTGCACTACAAATTGTGATTTCTAGCAGTAATCTTTTTTAGAATCTGCTATGCCATAACTTCATCTCAAAGCAGCTGAAGGTGGCATGAAGGGGAGACTGGAGTTGTACAGTCACGTTTATTGTTTTTTTTTTTTTTTTTTTTGTCGACATACGAACACTCATATGCTCACCAATGGAAAAGAATTCCAATTCATTTCAATTTACATTACAATTAGTGCATTACAGTTAAAGACGATCTGTGCTTTTTCTTGCCTAACGGTCTGTTCAATTCATTTGGTTCTGTCTAATACTAGTTTATGGGTGTTTTTTGGGGCAGTCATTTCTGTGGAATAAGTAGTGAGAACTCGTCACCTACAACCTTTTATTATTTCCATCTTCATTATTATTAATTTAGGTAATTGCAATATCTCTTATGCAATCTTGGGTAGTAACTAGTTACTAGTAATGTGTTATTGGTGACTAGTTACTTTTTTCAGTAACTGTAACTAGTAGTTCCTTTTGAGTTAAAGGAACTTGTAACTGTACCATTAGTTTTACTTTTGTTTTTAAAAGTTATCCAACATCAATATTAGTTAAAAGCCAATATTAAATAGTTTTCGCGTATTCTTTCTTCTTTATTATAACCTCTCCACCTTTGAACTTTCCACAGTAGGGCTCCCCTCGCACTTTAGGGAAAGATGTTGCTAAGAGGGATATCTTCCATGCAGAAGACTGTATTCGGGGTTCACTTGTAAACTGCATGTCGTAAATCAATCAGGCTGCAACTGAAGAGCTTCCTAAATTCTTGAGCCTTTTTTTGGCAAGTGAAGGGGGAAGGGGGGCACCTATATCCTTTTTGTGACTTGAGCTTATAGCTCTATTTTTAGTGTGCCTTTAAAGCATTTTTGCCCGAGGCTCCGAGCTCATCGTGTTTAACATGTGGCTAGAAAAAGCAGCAAAAAATGGCTCAAAGTCAGAAGGCTGTGCACTAGTGAAGCAATTTTTGAAAACTTCTTTGTAACTGATTTTCATAGGTCCACTTTAACTAAACACAACAATTATTAACAAAATGAAAAACGTTGCACCTCCTATGCAGGTGGCATGCTCGGTATACATAGGCAAAAAGAAAAAGAAAAAAAAAGTGCATGTCGATGTCACAGAACGAGCGCTAAACAAGAGCCCGCCGCCAAATCCTTGCGACAACGGGCGGCAGAAACGCCGCGAGGTAAAAAGAAAAGAAAAAGAAAGCAAACATCCAGGGCTCCCGGGCGCGCGCTCTCCCCGCAGAAGCACGGCTTCGCAGACGATCCTCCTCACCCCACATCTGCGGCCCAGCAAGACCGCGATTTCTCTCGAACGAACGGGGCGGGGTCAGACCGAGCTGAGTCATCCGACGCGGAGGGCAGACAAACCGTCTCGCCTCTCCCCAGCCTTCGCTGCGTATCGCGCCGACGAAATGACGAGAAAGATCTGGAAAGTCGCGCGCAAGGTATTTAACCGAGCAGCCGAGACGAAAAATCAGGAGGTGACGGTAAGTTAACGCCAGAGCGCGTAGGAATTCCGCCGTGGAGTCGGCGAAGGTTCTGCCCGTAGTGACAGAACAGGAGGAGACGGAAGTGAGCGCCAGAGTGCGTAGAGAGTCCGCCGTATAGTCGGCGAAGTTTTGGTCCGTAGGGACGGCTCGAGCTACAGGCAAGAGCGTGAGTTTACCGCTATCGAGCGAAGACGCGGGCAACAGCTGCGTGTGGGAAGCCGACGGATTTCCGGCGAAGAAGTTGAAGTCTGAAGAGTGGCCAATTGAAGACGGGAGGTTTCCTGGAAGAGAACTTCGAGAGCTGCGGAACGACAACAACGCTGGACTTTGAGTGAGTGATTCTCGGAAGAGTATCATTCAGACTTTTGTTCCAAGGACTTTGGACTGAATAGGTTTTATATCTCTTTGGTCTTTAAGTGTCTTGGTTGTTCAATGCATGCGACTGCATTGTAGTGCGTATTGTTGTCTGTGTCCGTTGTTTCAAGTGTGGTTGATTGTACTGTGTAGTACATTGTTTGTTTGGTGACGTATTGTATGTAACTATTGTGGAGTGTGCATACGTGTGTACTGTTTTTGATCTGCCGTTAATGAGAATATAATTTTGTTTGTTTATCAACTCTCGGCTCTGTCTTGTTCTTTGGGCCACAGCCGGCGTCCGCTGGCGCACCAATAAGGACCACTTCTAAATTGTCCACGCTTTCGTGGTGCGGTTCGGGGGGCCGATACTTCGGCTCTTGGAATTAGCCCGGCGATCGCCTCCCTAATAAACGGGACAGGTGTGACAATTAATCTGGCGTCCGCGATACAGGACCTTTTGGTGCACAGTGTGTCCAAAGTAGTGAGAAAGAGCCTCGAGTTGTTGATAGTGCTATCGGAACGATTTTGTGTGTTGTTTAGTGTTCTCGTTAACGAGTGCAGGAGAGTGTTCCGATAGACTGAGTGAGGCAGATACTTTTTGCACGCGGCAAGGTTTTATTTGCGAGACACGATGGATCTCGAAAAGTTAGTTGCTCTTGGTGAGAAGATGGGTCTTTCTGGCGCCGAACTACGGAAGTGGGTCACCCAGAAGGAAAAAGAAGAAAAAGAGAGAGCCAAGGAAGAAAAAGCAGCTGAGTTGGAGCGAGAGAGGTTGACAGCAGAGAGGGCGAAGGAAGAAAGAGAGCAGCAATTGAAGTTGGAGCTGGAGAGAGAGAAGTTGGCAGCCGAAAGGGCGAGAGAAGAAAGAGAAGCGAGGGAGCGCCAGCTGAAAGAAGAAAGAGAAGCGGAGATGGCTGAAAGGGAACGGCAGCGGCAGCACGAAATTGAACTCGAGCGGCTCCGTTTGCAACAGCGAAACGAAACTCCCGTCCAAGCTAGAGTTGAAAGCAGCGAACGGGAAGATCACGGCTTCCGCTTGAACCCAAGCAAGCTGCTCGTAGCGTTTGATGAAAGGAAGGACGACCTAGACGCGTACCTCCACAGATTTGAGACGATTGCGAGGAGCCAGAATTGGCCGGAACAGCAATGGGCAACTGCTTTGAGTACCTGCTTGAGTGGTGAAGCGCTCAGTGTGTACGGTAGGCTGACGCCGACCGATGCAGCCAACTACGCAAAGGTGAAAGCGGCTTTGTTGAAGCGATTTAGATTTACCGTGGAAGGATTCCGGGACAGATTTCGGACAGGAAAGCCAGCTGATGGTGAGACGGCTACGCAGTATGCCGCCCGACTTTGCCATTATTTCGACAGATGGATTGAACTTTCAGGGACAGCACAGGAGTACGATGAGCTTAGAGAGCTGCTAATTAAAGAACAATTTCTTACTAGTTGCCACCCAAGCCTGTCGCTGTATTTGAAAGAGAGGAAGGCGGAGTCATTTGAAGGAATGCTTGAATTGGCTGATCAATTCTTGGAAGCGCAAGGTGGCACTAATTTGGCCAAGGTAAAGAAGGAGTGCCCCGACGATTCGAAGAAATTGGCTCCCGAAGAAAAGAAGCGTGCACCAGAGAGCATTCCGCGATGTTTTCTGTGCAACCGAGTGGGTCATCGCGCGAAAAACTGTCGAACAATCTTTACGAGCCCTACGGTAGTGAAATGTTTTAAGTGTGGTCAGACTGGGCACAAAGCAGACGCTTGTCGGAACGGAGTGAGTCAAACTCACCAGGTATCTTGTGTGCAAGCGGCACCGGAATCTGATAATAATGCCGTCACTGATGGATTCGTAGAGTTGAAGAATGGGGAGAAAATTCCTATTGTCGGTGCTGTAATGTCAAAACAGCCAACCGGTGTTACGAAAGGAATGCCAACACTTCCTGGAAAGATTGCTGGCAAGAAGATTACGGTTCTAAGAGACACCGGTAGCTCCACGGTTATCGTGAGGAGAAATTTGGTACGGGAAAGAGAGTTGACAGGCAGAACGAAACCGGTTTGCCTAATTGACCGTACGGTCCGGATGCTTCCCGAAGCAGAAATTGAGGTTGAAACCCCGTACTTCAGCGGGAAGGTTACTGCCTTATGCATGAAGACCCCCCTGTATGACTTTGTCATCGGAAACATCGACGGGGCGCGAGGGCCAAGTGATCCAGAATGTTTGGGAGAAGACCCGAAGATAGAGCCCTCGCCAACACAGCGGCCGCGAGATACAAGGGAGGAGCATCCCGTGACGGATCTCACTAGAGCACAAGGTGAAGCTGCGGCGCAAGAGACAGCGAAGGAGAAGACGATCGTGTCGAATAAGTTCGCGGGCCGAGCAACCGGACTTACGCCGGCACGACCTCAACCGACCGACAGTGCAAAGGAGACGGAGTCGGCCAGCCGGGCAAAATGTAGAGGCATGATCGAGCGGGTAAATAAACAGACAGGACCCGTCGAAGGTAATGACGCGTTAACGGTGTCGGAAGTGACAACGATGGCTGAGACGCCACCTCAGATACCGTCGTTGGAAGGGGCTCGCCGAAAAGGAACGTGGAAACACAAGAAGAGATCGAGCGAGCACCGCAAAAAGGGGCGCAAGCGCTGTTCGAAGTATTCAGGATAAGTGCTGAGGTCGAATCAGAATGTGTTTGGCAGTGTTGAGTGCCATATGTTGTGTAATGTTCTTGTTATCCTGTGTCTCAAGTGTATGTCGAGTGAGTCAGTGTTCTGTGCGATGGTGTGATGTATAGTGTTGTATAATTGTTGGATAGACAGAACTTTGTACGTTTGTATTGTTAGAATGTGTGATGAAGTGTTGTAGGCATGTACCTGTGGTTATATTTCATGTGTTGTGGAATTGACTACAATGTACGATTGTATTGAGTGATATATTGTGAATGTGAAGTGTCATGAGCGACGGATTGTGTTACAGTCTGTGAGAATGTGTGGTGACTGTTCGCGCTCGTTTGTGTGGTTTTGAATATTATGAGATAATATTCTTAAAGTGGGGGGCAGTGTCACAGAACGAGCGCTAAACAAGAGCCCGCCGCCAAATCCTTGCGACAACGGGCGGCAGAAACGCCGCGAGGTAAAAAGAAAAGAAAAAGAAAGCAAACATCCAGGGCTCCCGGGCGCGCGCTCTCCCCGCAGAAGCACGGCTTCGCAGACGATCCTCCTCACCCCACATCTGCGGCCCAGCAAGACCGCGATTTCTCTCGAACGAACGGGGCGGGGTCAGACCGAGCTGAGTCATCCGACGCGGAGGGCAGACAAACCGTCTCGCCTCTCCCCAGCCTTCGCTGCGTATCGCGCCGACGAAATGACGAGAAAGATCTGGAAAGTCGCGCGCAAGGTATTTAACCGAGCAGCCGAGACGAAAAATCAGGAGGTGACGGAAGTTAACGCCAGAGCGCGTAGGAATTCCGCCGTGGAGTCGGCGAAGGTTCTGCCCGTAGTGACAGAACAGGAGGAGACGGAAGTGAGCGCCAGAGTGCGTAGAGAGTCCGCCGTATAGTCGGCGAAGTTTTGGTCCGTAGGGACGGCTCGAGCTACAGGCAAGAGCGTGAGTTTACCGCTATCGAGCGAAGACGCGGGCAACAGCTGCGTGTGGGAAGCCGACGGATTTCCGGCGAAGAAGTTGAAGTCTGAAGAGTGGCCAATTGAAGACGGGAGGTTTCCTGGAAGAGAACTTCGAGAGCTGCGGAACGACAACAACGCTGGACTTTGAGTGAGTGATTCTCGGAAGAGTATCATTCAGACTTTTGTTCCAAGGACTTTGGACTGAATAGGTTTTATATCTCTTTGGTCTTTAAGTGTCTTGGTTGTTCAATGCATGCGACTGCATTGTAGTGCGTATTGTTGTCTGTGTCCGTTGTTTCAAGTGTGGTTGATTGTACTGTGTAGTACATTGTTTGTTTGGTGACGTATTGTATGTAACTATTGTGGAGTGTGCATACGTGTGTACTGTTTTTGATCTGCCGTTAATGAGAATATAATTTTGTTTGTTTATCAACTCTCGGCTCTGTCTTGTTCTTTGGGCCACAGCCGGCGTCCGCTGGCGCACCAATAAGGACCACTTCTAAATTGTCCACGCTTTCGTGGTGCGGTTCGGGGGGCCGATACTTCGGCTCTTGGAATTAGCCCGGCGATCGCCTCCCTAATAAACGGGACAGGTGTGACAGTCGATCAGACCATTAGTCACACATGTCCATGTAAGCATTTCCGGACCCTCCCTCCCCCCCTTTTGCTTCTGTTCACAAAGCAGTGTCATCGCATTGTTTAGGTGAACGCTATGCCCCGAACAGTGTTCAACAACCTCCATCTAAGAAAGTGCTGCATAGTTGACTTTAGCAACATTTTTTTTCCTGGTCATTTCTTGATACTTTTTTGCCCGTTTCACCAACGTGTTATGTTGCTTCGCCATCCCCGCATCGTACTTGTGAATGATTCTGCACTGATCATTTGCAAGTGTGTGGTTTTTCGGTTACGCAAACACATATTTCAATCAGTTTGTACACTCAGCGGATGCAAAACTCTCCATACAAGGTCTGGTAACCTTGAAAACATAGGGGATGGACGTCGATGATGAATGAAATCGGTTTCACTAGTTACGCACTTCCCGTGCCTTGTTATATATTTTTATAAATTAATTCTATCATTTGGTATGTAATTCATTATTTGTTTTATGCGGTAATGGCAAAGTAACAACATTACTTTTTCACAGTAACTGTAACTTTGTGGTCTAGACCACTGCAGGTCTAAGCTTAGCGAGCCACAGAGCCACATATACTGTCCCTGCTCAGGTATACTCCACCACTTCGCACGCGCTCAATTAGCAAAGTGATTAGTGTGGTGCAACAAAAAAGACGGCAGTTTGATCTAACAAACACAACAAATACTTTATTGCCTTTGGCCGCACCCCAAACAAAGCACTACATCCACTCCTGTGACGTGGGGAGCAAAGGGCTACCACATATGCACGGTACACAAAGAGGGAAAAATCATGCGTACATCGCTGGAAGCAGTGGCAAGCTTTGACACACCACTTGGGAAAAGGCTCTGCGCAGCTATCCTGTGTGCTCTTGTGATGACCACTGCGCCTGGTCGCGAGAGCTAGGGCAAATCGTCATACACGAGGGCCTCCGGCCAGTGTGAATAAGTGTAGAATGGCCATGCATGAAAACTAGGCACAGCTCTTGGGCTTGTCGTATGAAACCACAGCTGACACATAGGTAAACATGCCCGCCGTGGATGCCGAGGCACCCTGGCAGACTACAATCCGCCGATTTCCAAAGGGTGCGTCAGACGGGGAGAAAAACACGTGCTTGCCATATGCTGCTTGAGGAGAGAGAAAGAGAGTCCCGGCGCGCAGCACAGCTCTTGGGCTTATCGTATGGAACAAGAGCTGACACATAGGTAAACATGCCCGCCGTGGATGTTAAGGCACCCTGGCAGGCTATAATTTGGCGATTTCCAAAGGGTGCGTCAGACGGGGAGAAGAACAAGTGCTTGCCATGTGCTGCTTGAGGAGAGAGAAAGAGAGAGTCCTGGCGCACACGTGACTGTCTCGCTAAATCTTGCGTACCGACAACGCGCTGTGCCCCCACGAGAACCGCTGCTTGGTGCCATCTATCACCACTTGTCGTCCCGGGAGCATTGAAGAGGGAAGGGACTGGCAGAATGGTGAAATGCATGTGCAGTGGCTTCGGACACCCCTCAAATCCACATAAACTGTAATAGGTTGGTTTTGGAAACTCTGCAACTGTAACAGAAATACTTTTTTAATGGTAACGTGCCCATGACTGCTAATATGTGGCTATAATGACACTACTTTAGGAAACCAAGGCGTGAGGTGCAATTTCTGATGTGTGGTTGAGATTGCAGCCACAAGGATAAAGTTGCATTGACTACTGTGGATAAAACAACACAGACAACACAACATGTGGATAAATAGTTTGAGTTGCATTATACAAGTTCTGTAAGAAGTGTCGTGTTGCGCACTTTGTTCACAAATGTGTTTATCTACAAGTGCTACTACATTTCTTGTGTACAATTGTAAGTTCACGTTGGTGCATGTTTTTTTCCCTTCTACAGTTGTGCAAGCATCTTCCAGCACGTGCGGAGAGTTACTCCTGGGCGCTCGTGTACAGTACGCTGAAACATGGCTTCAGCCTCAAGACTCTTTACCGTGAGATGCTCAAGATTGAATCTCCGATTCTGCTTGCGGTGTTGGACACTGAAGGCGCTGTAAGTTGACCTGCCCCCACCCCCCATTCTTGTCAGCAAAGACAAGCGTGTTTTGTGTTGTATTGATAAGCTACTAAAATGTACTTCATCTTGCTCTGTTGCACAGGTTTTCGGTGTTCTGACATCGTGTTCCCTGAGGATGAGCGACTACTTCTATGGCACTGGAGAATCATTTCTGTTTACCTTCCACCCAGAGTTCAAGGTAAGTCTCTCCAACGAGTGTGCAGGTTCCAGTTATCTTTCTTGTTTTTGTAACAACACTCATGGAAGTGGGCGAGTAATTTTTCTATGTTTTTATTGACATTTAAGTTGAATGAGCTTTATAGACAGCCTGCTATTAGGAACATCGCACATTACTCGTTATTTAATTTTCTAGCTAAATCTCTCTGTAGCTTAGTCTTGGCCGAGTCACAACAGTGTCTGTCATTTGTGGTAGATTGAAGCAATAAAAATGTCAGAAAGCGCAGTGTGATGTAGGCATGCAGTTCTTATCGAAGGGGTATTGAAAAACATTACATTATATTGGCACGTGGCCATTGCTCAGCAGCAATTGCAAAGGGGTCAACAGCTATGCATAGCTACAGCTCTGAAGGTTAGCAAGACAGTCAGCACAGGTAAAGTTTCACAATTTTTTACTAGAGTGAACTCTCGGTAAAACGAGCTTATTTAAGACTAATTGTCTATGATGACGAACATGATAATGTTTGATTGGTTTTTGCTTAGACCCAATGCAAAAAAAAAGTCTGCTTTAGACGAACAGCCTTATACCTACTCTTCTGTGAGGACCAGCATTTTGGTGGAGGCCGCCACTGCTGGGAATTCGCTTCATGACCGGAAACAAAGCAACTGAAAAAAAATAAAGCACGAAAAAAAAAACGACCCAAAGCAAATCTGTGGTGAAAGGAGGGAGGGAGCGAGCCACCAGCTGCAGCTCCTTTTAACCCATGGAGCGGGCGGCAAAGCAACAAAAAAAGACAAAGAGAGAGCTTGTAGGGTGGCCACGAAGTAAAACACAAAATGTTTGACTACCGAGTTTTTTTATTTGTGAATAGAGCAGCTCTCCTGACCAATGCTGCTTCTAAGCGGAAGTACATCATGCAGCTCTCTCCGTATGGATGTTCTCCGCTTCTCCTACCTTGCCATCGCCAAGAAAATGCGTTTTCTATCTGTGCCAAACCAGCGATTGCACGTGTGTCGTCCCTTGCACCTTGTGTGCCTCACTAGGCCTGTTGAAAATAACCAGCAAGCCAACTCTTCAAAGAAAGCCTATCTACCTTTCAAAAAAAGGGGGGGGGGGGGTGGCGGATATTTTAGCTCAAGTGAAAGCTGGCAAGCTCTCGAAAACTGAAATCAAGTAGAAGTTCGGAATCGCAAAAAGCTGACTGATATCATAAAGGATGGTGTGTGGGCAGCCGCCTCAGTGAATGATGGCGACTTTGCGCCAAATCGGAGAAGTGGAAAAAAATGCAGACTGCTGCACATAAGGGCTTGGAAGATCTTCTCCTCGCTTGGATTGGATGTGCCCGTAGCGTGAATCTACCTGTTATCAGGGTTGTTCTGAAAGCGGTAAAAATCGCCCAAAGAATGGACATTTTTGGTTTCCATGCAGTGACGCGTGGCTCGATTGCTTCAAGAAAAGACATTGACTAGTCTTTCAGTCTGTTGCTGGAGAGGCCGCTGCCTTTGACGAAGCGACCTGCAATGATTGGAGACTAACCAAGCTCAAAGAAATCATCCAGATGTACGACCCTAGCAACGCTTACAACGTTGACGAGACGGCCTTATTTTATCAAATGCTGCCCCAGAAGACTCTTGCATTCGCTGATGAAAACTGCATAGGGGGTAAGCACAGCAAAGTGAGGATTACCGTACTCGTTGGCGCGAACATGTCGGAAAGCGAGAAGCTGAAGCTGCTGGTCATCGGAAGATCAAAATCTTTGCGTTGCTTCAAGTACGCTAAAGAACTGCCAGTGGCCTACATCGCCAACTCAAAATATTGAAGGACGCAGTCTATTTTCCAGTAATGGCTGCGACATAAACAGACATTTCCTTGACGAGAAAAAAAGCATACTATTCCTGGTAGACAGTTGCCCTGGGCACGGGCACATTGCCGACCTTCAAACAAATCATTTGGAGTTTTTGCCCGTGAATACCATGGCGAAGCTCCAGCCAATGGATCAGGTAGTGATAAGCAGCCTGGAAAAGCACTATCGCTGATCTCCTCTGCAGAGAATGCTACTCTGCATGGAAAACAACAATCACTGTACTGTGGAACTATTGGCAGTGCTACACCTGCTTGCAAATGCCTGGAGCCAGGTGGTTGACACGACCATCTTGAACTTATTCCTTCATGCTGGATTTGTGGTGCCCAAGTGCTCAGCCCAGAATAATTGTGGAGACAAAGAAGAGGTCAACATGGTTGCCACTCTGGGCAGCAAGGGACTCGTCATGTACATGGGCAGTTATGCCAGTGTTGACGAAGATGTGCCAACATGCAGAGAAGACGGGTTGGGCACATTGATTGAAGAGGTGTTTGAGGCGTCTTTGGAGGTATTGTCGAACGAGGAAGACGCCTGCGTGAAGCCTGCACCAGTGGCCTTTGATGCTGCAGACACCTACCTTAGTTCCTTAAGGAATTATTTGAGCATTTCGAAAGAACTGAACTGTTCTTAAGGTCTCTAGCAGATATGTCATTTTTCACTGCTCGCCGTTGCGCACAACAGCGGCAGACTTTCATTATGAAGTGGATAAAGTCTAGCAAGAGCGCTTTAGCACAAAAGCTTTTAAAATGAGTCTCTTAAAGAAATAGCTTTTCTGTGTTCTTTTATGTAAGTACTTGATTGTTCATTCTGAACTAAGATACTTGCATGCACCTTGGTATGCCACCAATCCTTCTTAGAGGGTGCTTCTGGTAAGACGACCATCTGATACGACGAACAATTCTTTATGATCCCTTTGAGTTCATCTTAAAGGGAGTCCACTGTATTGAAAAATTGATTTACGATACTACTGCTTGTTTTTGAGACTACATATCCATATATAGGCTATTCACAGCGTTAAAATATTTCTGTATGAAAGTGTGAATAGTGTAACAGGAACTGTTGATGGCATTGTTATAGTCCAACTGACTGCACTATTACAGTTGTGCACTTACTGGCTAGTGATATATTACCCGTAATTTCACCATAGTTAACAGTCAATAGGGTAGATCACACACTTCAAGACAGGGAAGTGTGGCCTATTGATATGTTACAATGTGTATCGATTTTTAAACATAATGCCATGTTCTTGATACTATCATTAGTTATTGTGCTGTTGATAGTTGTTGTGTGTACGTATCTCACCAGAGTACGGCTACTAGCATGGGATCGGGCTTAGCGGGACACAGGGCCGTGTTTGCAGCCACCTTGTGTGAACTAGCGCGCCGCTGCACACGTGCGTTCCAACAGTAAAGGTGCTGAACGCAGCGCAGCAAGTTTGCAGTGGTGCTGCGGCAACACCACAAAACGTCATACCGCGCCCACTCCCAAACGTTGCTGGAAAAAGCAAAGAGGCTCAACCACGTCACAGGTGAAAATACACAATAATGGGAGCTGCTAGCATGTCTTCGTGGGCAATGGCACACGGCGACACATTGCTAAAGAAAAAGGTCCCTCGTGACCATGCTGCGTACTTTTCGTGATCAACAACCACTGGACCGATCGTTCGATATAGGGCAAACTTTGTTCATGTTGGCTTTTGATAAGTGCGGCTCGGCGTAATATGACCACGAGCGAACACACTGCACCACTCTCATAAGGTACCGTAAATACCCGCGTATAATAGGAACCCGAATATAATACGAGGCCAAATTTTAGAGGCGCAAAATGAAAAAAAAATTGTACCCACGTATAAATTTACACAGAAAAGGTCACCGAAAACACATTTATTGAGCACGCATCTGCCATGTCAATCGCTGTCATCTTTAACTGCCCTTTCCTCAGACGTTTTTTTTGTCAGACAAATCGTCAAATAAGTGCTCGTCTACTGTGCCATCGAGGGCATTAGAGATGCTGCACTTCTTGAAGGAACGACGCACAAGATCCTCTGGGATGCTTGCCGAAGCGTCCACGATTCATTTCCATAATGTGGCCGGTAATGCCCGTTTCAACCGCCTGGTCGGTGTCACTGCAGGCTCACCTGAACGCATCGACTTGGCGTAGCAACGCTTAACCGCATCTTTGAACGGCTTATTTACACAAGCGTCGAGAGGTTGCAGTTGAGATGTCATCCCCTCCGGGATCACGACCAGTTCCGTGCCGCAGTCGTGAAGAGCCTCTTCACTGAATCGGCCAAATGGCAACGAAACGCATCCAGCACCAGAATGGATGGAAAAGACAGCAGGGCACCAGGCCGTCTGCATCTAAGGACTGTACCCTGTCTAAGACAAGGTCTTCGTTCATCCTGCCTTTATCGTGGCATCTCACGATGACATTCTTCGGTAGCTCCTCCCCATTTGGCATTGTCTTGCGCTTGAAGACGACATAAGGTGGGAGATTGTGGGCGTCCGCCGTGCACGATAACATCACTGTGACACGCGTTTTTTTCATTGCCGGTGGTATGGACACTAACCTACTTCGAGCCCTTCTCGTGAACTGTAAGGGGCGATGGCATGTCCAGGTAAACTGACGTTTGATCGGCGTTGCCGATTTGTCCCAGCTGGAAGTTCTGCGAGCAGCGCAACGTAATCACATGGCGTTGAAATAAGATAATAAGCTCTTCAAAGGCTTCAGGGAGCTTCTGAGAAATGGAGGTTCGCTGGCGCAGGGAAAATCCGGCTCCGCGCATGTAACGGTAGATCCAGTGCTTGCTGGCTTTGAAGTCCGAGCTCAACATCCCCTTTTTTCTCGCCAGATCCCTCGCTTTTATCTGTATCAGCTCCATGTTGACTGGCAATTGCGCCGCCCGCTGCTGTCGAACGAACTCTGTGAGTGCGAGTTCAATCTTTGTGAAGGCCCTTTTCTTTGGACCGCGAAAGCTTTTTCGCTTTCCGCTGCACGCGAAAAGCGCTTCTTCCTGTCGTCGCCATCTACTGACGCTTCCTTCGGTGACTCTGAACAGTCTTCCGGCCGCACTCTTGTCGGTTTCCTCGGCAGATACGATGACCTTTCTTTTGAATTCAGCCGAGTACTGGTTTCTGTGCCCTGGCATGTTGCACCTTTTCAAAGTGAGGCACAGAACACAGCGAGGTTCACACGTCCGCCCGTCCGCTGTCCAAGCGTTAAAAAAACTCGACAACAAAGAAATAAATGGTGCTAGCGCTCACTTTTGCCACGCGAGGGCGCGAAGATAACAAAGCTAAGCCGTAGCCAAGCGGCAGTTACGAAACGAAAACTTCAAGCACAACTTCGTTTTTGAGCAAGTTTTCGTTCAGATCCGCACATAGTACGAAGTGGAAATTTGGAACACTAACATTAGAAAAAAAAACTCGAATTATACGCGGCTATTTACAGTAAGCGCTCACCGCTGGCGCAGCACGGTTAGCGAACTCCGCCTGAGCAAATTCTAAAAAAAGAAGCGGACGAATTAAAAAGAAAACGGTGCTTACTCAACACTGTCCAGAAAAAGAGTCTCTTCCCGTCGTGCACAAAACGTCTCGCAATATTTGCGCACGTGGCACCATTGAGAAAATCTGACTCAAGGTGAGAGATACTAACTTCACCGCCTGCTCGCCCAGCACCAGTAGGACCTCAAAAAAGGTAGAGTCATGATCGCACACGTGGACAAGCAGAATTAGGTGAAAAACCCGCAGTGGCGATGGGCAAGCCTCAATCAAATCAAAGACTCTAATATTTAAACTGAATGTTCTGTGTCATCTCTAAGTTCATCTACATGGCATTGGTTGGTGTTTATGTACCGGCCTTGTTGCATTTCCAATGAGAATTGCCCAGGTTTCATGAAGTTGTTCTGTTATTCTCAAATATTTCGTGCATTGACTTGTGTCTTGCTGTGTGATTTGTGCAGTTGTACAAGTGGACTGGTGAAAATGGCTACTTCATCAAGGGCAATGCTGATTCCCTGGCTTTCGGTGCTGGAGAGTGAGTATTATATGTACTATGTTCTCCGACTTGGCTACGTTCTTTAAGGGTCCTTGCGACACAATTTGATCATGTCTTCTTCATCGATTCTTCTGGTGCTGTGGAAAGCGCCGATATCAATGTACAAGTGGCAATGCCGAAATTCAAGCTGCTAAACTTTAACTTAAGAGATAAACTACCTTGATTTCAGACTAAGGCTGACACCCTATCAGCTATTTTTGTTATAGGGTCACTTCATGTGACAGTGATAACAAAGGCTGGTCGTTTTTTGATTGGCTTGACAAGACAAGTAGCTGTGCAATATTTATATTGGAGTAGCTAAGCCATACAGGTGGATGCTAAAAACAGTAGGAACCCTTTTTATTCTTTCTTGGAAAGAAATAATTTCTGCTTCTATATGATGTATTTTCGGAAACAACGAACACGACACTTAGTCTGCGAACGCGGCTATGGTATGTGCCACCTATGTCATGCCAGGTTTTTAGCGAGCCAGAAATGCTAAGTGAGGCGGACGCTGCCGTTGCCGTAGAAAGCATGCAAGCCAGGAACTGTCCTTGTCCTAAAGAGTATGCATCTTACACAGTGTGACGGTGGAAGCTTCTGCTACCCAATGCACGTGGTTCGTCGTAACCATGCTAACGACATTGTCACAAAGAGCGGTAGCGAGGTACTCTGTGAAGGCCACCATGAGGTGGCATTTTCGGTATGTTCTTATGAGACGCGTGGTGTGATTAGAAGCGGTCTTTGATGTCTGCAGGTGAGTGAAATGCAAAAAGAAACATTCCTCGTCATCTGCACGAGTTTTGAACTTAGAGGACTCATAAATCCACTTTTCGTGCACCAATTTTCATCATTTTTGTTGCATTCGTCTCCGTGATCATTACTACACACGTTCCGGGGCTAAAAAGGCAGTCTCAAAAGTGTTGCAGGGCCATTTTAAACAGTGTGTTCAGCTGTTGACCGCTTGATTGAAAGTTGCACTTCATTGCGAGTAGTGTATGTGAAGGCACACCTGCATTCATATTTCATTTCATAATAAAGAACATTGCATGGCTAAAGGTATTGCAGAGAAGCATCTCTTGATGTTCAAGCTCAAAATGTAAGCCTAAGCATGACAAGAGGTCCACATTTTTGGAACTGTGCATTGTGTAGTCTGTCATGGCAAATCCACAACCTACAGCTTATCACTAATGGCTTCACTCAATGCTTTAGCGGCTGTTGGCCAGGAAAGCTTGTTCAGTAAATAACATAAAAACTGTTGTATAAAGGGGTTGGTGTTAAAGGTACCTGCTACCGCACCAGCATCAGTCCCAATTTAGCTACTGTGAACTCCTCTTAAACGGAACTTGAAGGGGCAAGAAAATTTGTTCCATTTAAGTTTCGTTTAAGAAAAGCCCATACAATGAATGAAATAAGACTTTATTTCAAAAGCACCAACTGTAGCTGACAGAACATAAACATTTTGAAGTATACAATACTACTATAGTCGATTAGAAAGAAAAATGTTGGTAATATTGCTTACAATATAATATCTCTGTTTACAGTCGCACTTTCTCCAGAAACTATCCTGAAGACAACTCCATGCCGCTTTTTAAAATGGCTCAGACGCCCACCGCTCACCCGCAAGTGCTCGATCCCCATGCGAGTAGCAATCTCTTTGGCTTTCTCTTCGAAAATGGGCCTGCTGATCAGGAAGTTCGCACTGCGCGCATACTTGAATCAGAGAAAAAGAGCATCTTCAATTTCTTTGCACACTGCCATTCTCATCCGCATTCTGTCCGTGGCGAATTTCCAATCTTTGCAGCATCTTCAATCTTCCCTTTGTTCTTGAGTATCATCAACAGTGTGGACTTGGGAATATTGAACTTCTTCACCGTTTCTGTCTTCGATAGGTCGTTGCCGTCAAGTTCTTGAATGATCTTTACTTTCGTTGCAAGCAAAAGTGCATTGTGCTGCTGTTTTTTGTTTCCATCTCAAGTTCACGACGAGATGGAAACAAGAAAAATAGAAACAAGATGGATTGTTTGCTACTCGGTGTGCGCGGACATGTGCAATCGCTGGATTGGCTTAGCTAGGCTAGCTTTGGCATTTGTTTCATGGTTGCTAGACTGCCGTGGCCACTTGCGCCATTCATGGATTTTGCCTGTTTTAGTTTCATTTAACCAATGTAAGCGAAAAAAAATGTTCTGATTACCTGAAACTTTTAATCATTAAATATATAGGAGACCAACCAAATATGCCCTGACAGTTTCGTTATGCAGCTTTTCCATTTAAGCGAGTTTCGTTTAATGGGAATCCACTGTATTGTTGTTTGCAAGGCTGACATGTGATACTCTTATATTTTAAATACGTGAGCATTTCTATGCCAAATCAACTGAAGGACTGTTCATTCGTCATCCCTCTGTTATGTAAGACGAAATGCTATAAAAATATAAATTTATAAAATAAAATTATCTCTCTTGGCTTTGTTGGGCTGCAAACCCAGGTGACCCTCTAACGACGAGTGTCTTAAAATTGCTGTGCTAAAGATCCACGCTTGCAGAATGCCAACGCATCTGAACCATGAAAACGTATTTCACTTGCGGTGCAGAACAATTGTAAAAGGGGAGCGCCTTCTTTGAAGGCTTTATGGAATTTCGTAGTGGTTGAATGAGAACACTCTCTGGGACAAGAGGTAAGGCTAATGTGGAAGTTTTTAAATGGGGATAGCCCAACAATTAGAAAACAGGTCAATTTCTTTTTTTAAAAAACATGCAATGAAAAGTCAACCCTCGTCTCATATACCGGTCATTGGCAGAAAAAAAAATTTGATGTCTCGCAACAGTGGGTGCCTGAAGTCAAAAGCCTTCATTGCCATCCTGAGCATCAGTGGCGCCTTTTGGCAAGGCTAGGCAAGGCCTACAGTGTTCTAACAATGCCATTTTGTCTCGGTTATCTGCTGCAAGTCTGCTATTTCTTCTATTTCCTTCAGAAATGAGTGGTAGTCGACGGCAGTTTACGATAGGCTTTAAGAAAAAAGTTACCGAGTATGCCAAAGCGCACGGCAACCTGGCGCCACAATGGGAAGGAATTCGGTGCTTTGGAGAAAGGCATCCGATACCAGAGGAGCCAAAAGCAGCTCACCACATCCTGCAGAAGAAAAAAAAACATCATCTTGTGGACAGACCGAAGTGTACCCCGTACTGGAAACGCTACTCGTCGAATTCGTCTGGGAGCTGCGTGCAAGGTCGCTAGCCATAACAGTGCAGTGCATCCGCATGAAAGCTCTCGAGATAGCGTGTGCCTCTGGGCTCATGAGGGCGCAATTCAAGGGATTGCCATCGTGGGTGCGCCCATTTATGAAGTGGAACGGGTTTGCACTGAGGCAGCGTACTTGTCTTTCCGCAAATGCTACATCACTAACGCATTGGATGGAATGGAAGACGATGCACTCTGGGATGTTACTAGTGAAAAACGGACGTCATCGGCCTTGAGTTCGGATGAGTCTGAGTGACAGCACTTGGTGGCCTTCTGGCATTTAACTACATAGAATTAGTATCCATATAAAAATGAAATGCCACCACAGTGCAGCTGGTTGTGTCGTGTATTCACCTAGGTAAGGGTGCTGTCGCGATACTTTGCGATTTTTAAATATTTCTTTTTAGGAAATTCAAAGTTCAGGGGGTTGACCTATATTTTGGTCTGACCTATACTCCAGGTTTTACGGTGTCTCATTGTGTCCTATTGCATTGTTGCATTATCCAACTTCAAGTGTGCTATACCAACATGCTCAGTTTCTACTTTAGCAGGTTTCGACATGGAGGGCTGTAATTAAAAGAATTTAGACCTTGTGAAAATGTAGTGCATAGCTCTCCTTTTGGTTGTTATAGCTTACCTAAATCGCATGAATATATCCCGTTTGAATCACAGTGACTGAAGCACTATTCGTGCCCATGCTGAATGTTTATTGGCACGAGTAAAGTAACCTGACTTGTCTCATGAATATCCAGAGAGAGAGAGCGTGCTATGCAACTCCCACAACTGGCAAGTTGGCATGTTTAGCCAAAATTAATCCACAGCCCTCCTCTGCAGAGTATGACAGTTCCAGCACTGTTAAGGATGTGAACCTCTGTTGGTATTGACATTTGCGATTGTGTGAAATTGCAGTGGCCAGTTTGGGCTGTGGCTGGACGGCGACCTGTTCCACGGGCGCAGTCGTCGGTGCAAGACTTACGAGAATGACGTGCTCTCTACAAAGGAAGACTTTGTAGTTAAAGCGATCGAGGCTTGGGGCTTTGTCTGAACCACAGGTCGGCAACAAGGTGCATGCCACCGGAGCATGCGGATGGCACGCTGTCACCTCTCTTTTGACATCATTGAGAGGAACTGGACAAGAACAGCAGAACAAGTGGCCTCCACCCCCATTTGGCGTCTTCTCAGCTTCTGCCCTGCGCGGCTGGCATTTTGACACGGATGGCTTTTCTCTGGGCCGTGCGGACCAAACCGCCAAGTTCACGACGCGTCAGAGGAGCAGTGTGCCCTCTTGTCTCGGCGCACTGTCTGCCACCAGTTTGTCAACGTTCGCTTATTATTATTTTGTGGTTGAGCATCGCCGCCTTGCTTACACATTCCCCACTCCCCTCTCCTCTCTTTTTTTTTTTGCGAGACTGGCATTTCGCATTATTTTCATTTCGTGACACCCTGACTTTGTAATTTAAAACACGGCCACTTCTATATTCTCTTAAGGGTCAGTGACAAGTGGACTCCTATTTATTTCGGTTTGTGGTTGGGGAGCCGCATGGGTGTTTGCAGAGTGATTGGCAACGATTTCAGACACCGCACTGTGTGCCGCATGGTGTTTCATCTGCTAGAGAAGCAATCCACCAGAACCTAAAAGTATGGGGCAACTCGCTGGCAGAGAGGTTGCTTAGGTCTGTGCTTGGGAACAACTCTTTCCTTCATTTAACTAGTGTCTGAACACCTGTTTAGTTGGTTGTTGGAGCATTTTCAAAAGGTACATTCCTGTACATTGTTTCTTTTTTTCCTGTTCCTTTGAAATGCAAGAAGCTTTCAAGGCAACATAAAAAAAAGTGGAGCACCGGTGTGGTTGCCAGGAAAACCGTTTATTTTTTCTGTGATATGAAACATGCTGACACACATACATCAGTGTGCAACCTTTGTAGAGACAATCCCCTTGGTGAGACCAAAAAGACCAGGGCGACTGCGTTTAAAAACTTTCCCGGACAGTGTTACGAAGAGGACAATCACGGGAATTAAGTGTAAATGATGGTTACTGGTGCCCTGGTTTTGTTTGTTTGTTGTCGCAGTTGGGTTTTCCTGCAATGTTAACGTATAATATAGCTCAGCAAGATATCCTGGCTGTCCAGGCTTATTTTTCTTCGCATGGTGGCCTTGCAGAGTTTGGGCAGTTAATTTGATGAGATCCTGTTCAAGTGGGGCCCGGGAAGCTGTAGTTTTTTTTTATATGTGGGAACAAAATTATTTATTTCTTAGGGCCTTCTAGTGGGAGAATATTGGCCTGTCACTTGACTCCTTGCATTCACAACGCATACTGCTCATTTCTTATGGCCTTGACGCTTGATGCAGAGCTACTCTAATCCTAGGGGGCGCTGCTACTGCCCACTCATCATTCTGAGTCAGCAAAATATTAGAGGTAGCGGCCTCAGTGTCGTAGGTTAAAGGTTTCAGGAGATAAGTGAACGAACTTGTTTAGAGTTGCGAAGACATGTAAACAGTAGACGTGAGCAACACATCTTAGTTGCTCCCACATCTACCATTCCTTTTAGCGATGGGGATGCGGGAAAGTGTCTGTATCTGTGTGTGTTTTGTAGCTGGCACAGAATGCTGCCCTTGTAGGAGAGAAAAAAAAAGTGCTTATAACCACATATTTTAAGCAACAACCGGTGTACTGTGGAACAACTCTCGCAAAGTAAACACATTTTTCTCCCCCTCGGTGGAAATGACGCGATGTGGCAGTGCACTCTACGCACGCGCTATCACAAAAACTTGTCTCAGCCAAAAAAAGTGACACATCCTTACTACAAAGTGAATGTATACATAAAGCTATTTGTCTAGAGCCACTTGAGAGGCTGTTAGATACTGACACAAGGCTGTTTCTAGAGAGTAGGATTGTTCTTCGGACCACTTGATGACGGTGCGCCGTGCTTGACCAACATCGTTTGAACAAAAAGAAATTTTTCTCCCCCGGACACAATGTATTCGTGGCCATTGGCTTTTCCCAGCTTTTTGGATCACCTTTTAAGGCTGCCTGCCCTGTGCACCATCGCAAGCGGTTCGGAGCGGTAGCTCGTGTGTACATGACACTTAGAGAACAACACTGTGGAATTGCACGCACATTTAGGTTTGTTTGTATATACTGTACAGTATTTGTTTGTGGTTTTTCTTTTTCAGAATTCTTGCGTTGCGTTTTATGTGTATAGAACTGTAAAATCGCGCGGAGGTCCCTCGCTCTTGGAGGGAGGGGAGGAACTGGCGCCCCTGCCGGAGGTGGAAAGTGTCTTCAGGTGAAAAAGTGCCCTGCCACAGTGATGGGGGATCTATTTTTGTGTTGACTCCGGAATGAGCGGAAGTTCCTTTCCTTCGGTGAAGTTTAAAAGCCTGCATTGCTGCTCCTGATGACCTCAAGGCAACTAAATGGTGCGCGAGCTAGGGTCAGGGTTTGGCCTAGGAACTACTGCTTGTGTACTTGTTGGTATTGTAAAGAAATGTTGGAAGAAAAAAAAAAAGAAGTTTAAAATAAAAGCATTACACGATACTCTGCGTTGTCTTGTGTCCCGATATAGTTTTTCTTGAGGTTTTATTGCTGCAGTCAGGCATTCAGGGCTCTCAAAAGTGCTTGCCAACATGGAGGGACAACTTGGCATGCTTGGCATGTCCAGATATATATATATAATACACACATACATATATGCATACGGCAAGTTATCCTTTCACCCACTTCTCTTTCTTCACATTTACAGTTCTTTACAATTGATTGTAACATCTTCCCCTATACATTCCTTGGTATTATTGTCTGTTATATCTCATTAATATTGTGTCAACACACAGAAAATGAGCCTTTAGGTATACACTTGCCTATATATGTGTGTGTGTGTGTGTGTGTGTGTGTGTGTGTGTGTGTGTGTGTGTGTGTGTGTGTGTGTGTGTGTGTGTGTGTGTGTGTGTGTGTGTGTATATATATATATATATATATATATATATCTATATATATATTATAATAAATCTGAATAACAGACGCTGTGCTGGTAATGAAGAGGACGATGATGATCGGTGGCTGTAGCAGTAGCTCACGCACACCGCTCGCCATTAGCCGGACCTGCCTGATAAAGCACATTTTGCCAAGCTGCGTCTGAACCTTTCTCGATCTACAACACCTCTTATTTTAAGTGGTGGAGGAGCCGGGGTTCCCATCAACCTGGAACTTAGCACTCGGGCGCTACCCTCACTGTTCACCATGACTGCTCCTGGCCCTTCTCAAGCTGCCTTACCAACGACAGTTTACTGTACTGACGTGCCTCGGCAACGCGACCCACCAATTTTTCACGGCAACGACGAACAAGACGTCGAGGACTGGCTCGTCAAGTATGAAATCGTAAGCGCTTCCAACAAGTGGAACGCCTGCGACCAGCTCACAAACGTGCGCTTTTACCTCGCTCATGTGGCCAGCCTCTGGTTTAAGAACCACGAAGGCGAAATCACCAACTGGTCCGCCTTCAAGACCACCATCGCCGCGGTCTGCGGTCGTCCCGCCATGCGCCGGCTTCGCGCAGAACAGCGTCACCGTGGTCGAGTCCAGCGCAGGGACGAGACCTTTACAACTTACATTGAAGATGTCCTGTCTCTTTGCAAGCGCGTCGATGAATTTCTAACTGAACGCGACAAAATCAAGCACATCATCAAAGGAGTTGACGACGATACCTTCCAGATGCTCGTCGCTAGGAATCCACAGACCGTCACTGATGTTGTCCAGCTCTGTCAGGAGTACAACGAGTTGCGTAAGCAGCGTGTCTCGACGCGCAGGGCCGCTGAAGATACGGCTGAAGTTTCCGCCCTCGTGCACGACGTCGCTGCTGATCACACCGTCTTGCTGCCCCACATCAAACAATTCATTCGTGAAGAAGTTGTGCGTCAGCTTTCTCTTGTGGCCGAAGCATCCGCGCCAGTGACCTCGTTAGACCCACGTCTACGCCAGGTCATTGAGACACAGGTCACGCAGGCACTGCCTCCATTGCCATCTGTTCCTACGCCGCTGACCTACGCTGCCGTCGTTGCTAGACCCCCAGCCCCACCTGTCTCTGGCGCATACTGGGGCACCGGGTCCTCCTACCCTACGACGCTGCCTACATACACGGCACCCCATCCCGTTTTGCCCCCTACACCTTCTGTCGTTAACCCATGGCGCACCTTGGATAATTGACCCATCTGTTTCGCATGCGGTTTCGTGGGACATATAGCACGCTACTGTCGCCGTCGAAACTTCCAGCCTCCAGACCATGGGATTTCTACAAATTACCAGGCTGCCCAGGATCCCCAGCGACCATCTTCTCCTATCACCGACTCATTGTCCCCACGATGCCCTGTGGATTCTCGCCGGTCATTACTACCCCGTCGCCGATCTGTCTCCCCAATGCTCCGGCGCACAAGCCCCGCTCGAGAGGAAAACTGACAGCCGCAGTTCCGAAGGCAAGAACTGCGTCGTCGTCAAACTTTCTAAGACCTTCTCTTTGTCCGACCAACAAAATTGATGTGCTAGTAGAAGGTGTTGCTGTACGTGCACTTGTCGACACAGGCACCGTCGTTTCTGTAGTTAGTGAAAAACTGTGTCCCGATTTGAGAAAAGTTACAACGCCGCTTACGAATCTTGCTCTGTGTACAGCCACCTCCCATTTCATCGCGCCGGCAGCTCAGTGCACAGCACGCATTCTTATTCAAGATGTTTGGTACGCCGTCAACTTTGTTGTTTTCCCACGTTCATCTTACGACGTCATACTAGAATAGGATTTTCTTTCTACCCATCAGGCCCTCGTCGACTGCGCTCGTGCTGAACTCACGTTGACGAATCCGTGCCTTGATATCGACCACCACAGTCTCTCGAAAGTGTTTGCCGCAGCTGACGTCCGCATCGCGCCGTTGTCCGCCATCCTAGTGCCTGTGTTTTCCCCTGCTGCCACTAACTCGACGTGCCTGTTCCAACCAACTATAGCTAGTGTGCAACAACGAAACATCGTCCTCCTGTTTGCCGTCATCAACTTTTCCAATGGTTCGGCGGTACTTTATGCGTGCAACGTTTCTGCTTGTCCGTACATCCTGCTACGCGGCGAGTGTCTGGGAAGCCTCGAGACCTTAAATTGTATTTTTGAAAACCCGATCTATCCAGACATGCCATTTTTGCCGACTTGTGCCATTACACCCGCTACTGACGCTAATGAACCTATGGATGTATTCCGCAAGTTCATTGATTGCAACCTCACGCCTGGGCAGCAGGAACAGCTGATCAAGCTCCTACAGCGATTTCGAGCCTCGTTTGACCACAATCAGCCTTCCTTAGGTCGAGCGTCATCTGTTGTTCACCGTACAGGTACCGGTCAAGAGACGCCATTACGGCAGCGTCCATATCGTGTGTCAACTACCGAACGCCGTGCCATCAATGAACAGGTTGACGACATGCTGACACGTGGCATAATTGAACCGTCAAGCAGTCCCTGGGCCTCTCCAGTTGTGTTGGTGAAAAAGAAGGACGGATCCGTCAGGTTTTCATTTCATTTCATTTATTTATACTGTTAGCCCAGAAGTGGGCCGTTACAGGGTGGAAGTACAAACAATTATTTGCAAAAAAGAAGTACCGTACAGGTCTCGAGATAATTTCTCGGTATTATTGTGACCAGCAACTCGAAGTTATACATAACATACATAAATGGAACACACATGCGATGCAATACATACGCGCAGAACAGCACATGACGCATTTGAGGCGGCACTTTTGCACCGCGCTGAAGATTTGAAAGACAACTACTGCAGAATCATGCAACCAACAAAAAGTACACACACACGCCAAAAAAAAACAAAAAACATATGTCACTGTTATTCGGAAAATAAACGTTTTAGATTCTGTTCAAATGATGTAAGCGAGGAACAACCAATTATAGACTCTGGCAGCATATTCCAATCTTCAATAGCACGTGGAAAGTAACTGAACTTAAAGCAATCGTTACGTGGGACTAGGGGTGGTATATACATATTATGGACTTTGCGTGGACTACCGACGTCTCAACCGAATCACGCGCAAGGATGTCTATCTGCTGCCACGCATTGACGATTCCTTGGACTGCCTACAGGGAGCCGAATTTTTCTCTTCTTTAGATCATACTGGCAGGTACCCATGGCAGAGGCCGATCGCGAAAAAACAGCTTTCATCACGCCCGTTGGGCGTGATGAAAGCTGTTTCGATCGAAGGGCATGACTGTGAATTCCGTACGAATTCACAGTCATGCCCTTCGGCCTCTGCAACGCGCCAGCTGCTTTCGAGCGAATGATGGACTCTATCCTTCGAGGCCTCAAATGGAACGTTTGCCTTTGTTATTTAGATGACATTGTCGTCTTTTCAACTGATTTCGCAACCCATTTAAGCCGCCTCGAGAAAGTCCTCGCGTGTATTTCTGCCGCGGGGCTGCAACTGAATCTGAAGAAGTGCCATTTCGCCGCTCGAAAGCTTACGACCCTTAGCCACGTGGTTTCAAAAGACGGCATTCTTCCTGACCCTGCCAAACTTACAGCCGTTTCAGCGTTTCCCAAACCGACCACCATGAAAGAGCTCCGAAGCTTCATAGGCCTTTGCTTTTACTTCCGGCGCTTCGTCCGCAATTTCGCGACGATCATCGCTCCTTTGACCAAGCTCCTCGCCGGCTCTAGAGAACTTTCAGCCTGGTCTGCCACCTGTGACAATTCTTTCAATGAACTGCGCCGCCTCCTCACGTCGCCGCCTATTCTGCGACATTACGACCCATCCGCACCCACAGAGATCCACACCGACGCTAGTGGTGTCGGGCTAGGCGCTATTCTTGCACAGAAGAAAGACGGCTTCCCAGAGTACGTGGTTGCCTACGCAAGCCGAACTCTTAGCAAAGCCGAAATCAACTATTCCGTCACTGAAAAGGAATGCCTCACCATTATTTGGGCGATAGAGAAATTTCGACCTTACGTGTACGGGCGCCCTTTTGACGTCGGGACTGACCACCACGCCCTCTGCTGGTTGTCGTCACTGAAGGATCCAAGCGGTCGCCTCGCCCGATGGGCATTACGCCTTCAAGAATATAATATTCGCGTGGTCTATCGCTCCGGCCGGAAACATTCGGACGCAGACGCCCTATCCCGTTCGCCCCTACCCCCTGACCCGGACTGCTGCGAAAGGCTAACCTGTGATGCCACTGCCGTCACCATCGCCGACATGCCATCTGAGCAATGCAAGGACCCTTGGGTTGCTTCGATTCTAGACATCCTGGCTGGGCGGACGGCTTCCCCCCCTTCTCGCACGTTGCGTCGGCAAGTCGAGCACTTCGCCACTCGCGACGACGTGCTTTACCGACGCAACTACGCACCCGGTGGACGTCAGTGGCTACTCGGGATTCCACGTCATCTGCGATCCGAAATTTGTTCCACGTTTCATGACGACCCCCAATGTGGCCACGCAGGTTTCCTGAAGACTTATTCTCGCATACGTCTCCGATATTACTGGCGTGGCATGTACCGATTTATACG